CCTTTTCATCATACGACCGCAGAAAGATGAATGGCTAAGCCTCATCCCTTTTCCAGACCCACCACCCACTTCTGCAGAGAACCAGGGGCAGAAATTAGAGACGCCGGCAGGCTAAGTCCCTCCAGCGTAGCAAAGCAGGTAATGCTACGCTGCCAGCCATGCAGAACTCATGTGGCCCAAGCAGCAAGAGGGTCCTCTGAGAGCTCCTGGCCTCTCAATCCCCTCCCCCACATCTCGCAGTGTAATACAGGGTCTGACCCAGGGGTCGGCAACCTTACAGAAGTGGTGTGCCGAGTCTTATTCAGTCTAATTTAAGGTTTCATGTGCCAGTAATACATTATAACGTTTTTAGAAGGTCTCTTTCTATAAGTCTATAATATATAACTAAACTATTGTTGTATGTAAAGTAAATAAGGTTTTTAAAATGTTTAAGAAGCTTCATTTAAAATTAAATTAAAATGCAGAGCCCCCCGGACCGGTGGCCAGGACCTGGGCAGTGCGAGTGCCACTGAAAATCATATAGAGTGCAACGTCACACGGATAATAATGATACTGACCTCTTTTGTGATCTATCCAGGAAAAGCGCTAGGTATAATTATTTATTCTGCCCTTCCCAAATCTGAGGGGAGGGGCCAAAATGACAATGAAGAACAAATTAAAAACATGTAACACAGTCATAAACGTCAATAACTAAAGTAGCTTGGTTCAAAAATTAGTTACTGAGGCCTAGATCCTCAAGGTATTTAGGCTCCTAACTTCCATTGATATCAATGGGAGTTGGGAGCTTACATACCTTGAAGATCTGGGCCTTACTTACTAGGCCCTGTCTCCTCACTGACCTTCTCTTTACCCAAATTATTTCAATTTCTTGTTACTGGAATGGTTAACTATCCCAGCTCATAGCAGCAGCTGGTTCCCAGCTTTGGGCCCACACCTCAGCTCGCGTGCCGCCTTCGGTCTGACCCTGGTCTGACCGAAAAGCCACTGAAATTGTGAAAAGGCTCCCATGGCCAAATCTTAAAGTTATTAGGTGCCTAAAGATGAAATCAAAGGATTTAGGCACTTAACCTACTGCTGACAATCCCATTGACCTCCTGCATCTTTAAGCAGCTAAGTAGCTTTGAAAATCTGTCCCCCACTGACTGCTTCAATGGGTTTTTAATCAGCCTCTCAGTCATTCAAGCAACAGGCTGAAGATCTGGGTGGGTCCCATTCCTGGCTTGCTTTGTCACTCTGGGGGAGTGACTGCCCTGCCTCGTGCCTCAGTTTCCCCAGATGTAAAGCCGGGGTGATCATAGCCAAGAGGAAGGAGGGACCATGAGGAAGATCAAGCACAGCGAGTCCTCAGATGATAAAGTCACTACAGAAGGGTAAAGTATCATTATTCTCCTTCACGCCCCCAAACTCCTCCCCAATCTGCCTGACTTCCCCCTTTGAGTTCAATGTGCAAAAAGCCTTAGAAGCCTGACATCCACTGATTGCAATGGCCTGTTCCTTGGAGCCTGTCTCCTCACATCCAGTGTCAGCTCTAGACCAAATGACACCCCAGGCAGGGCCGGCTCCAGGCACCAGCTTAACAAGCAGGTGCTTGGGGCGGCCAAGGGAGAGGGGCGGCACCTGCGGCAATTCGGGAGCGAAGGACCTGCCGCTGAATGGCCGCCATTGATCGCGGTCTTTTTTTTTTTTTTTGCTTGGGGCGGCAGAAACGCTGGAGCTGGCCCTGACCCCAGGCAAGGAGCATCTTTGATACCTCCCCCCCCCCTTTGTTAAACTTTTGAATATCTTATTTTTATGGCATTTGTAGCCCATTTCACAGCTTTAATGCACAATTTGCATGCATGATTTATCCCTGTCATATAAGACGATTTTGCAGGCTAGGATCTATAAATTTGCAGGCTAGGATCTATAAATCTGCGAGCCCGGTGCCCCACCACTACCAAGCCCAGCACCCCATGTGGTCCCCTTGGTCCCCTGCCCTAAATCCAGCCCTGCCCACCTCCCTCCTACTCTCCTTCCTTTCCACAGGCAAGGAGGAGGCAGGCTCCTGGCTTTGAGAGCAGACCGCCCTGAGCCCCTATTGGCCATTCAAGCCAAATGCACTGGCTCTACTGGAGGGATGAAAGCGTTTTGCTGGGGAGAAGGGGGAATTAAGCCTGAGGGTTAATTAAAAACCCAGAAAAGAGACAAGAGTGGGAGAAGAGAAGCCAAGTACTGGGCACTGCATCCTGCCCCTTTCTTCTGCCGTGGTCCCAAAGAGCTGGGCTGCAGGGACACTTTAAGAAGCGAGAGAAGAGCAGGAGTGAACATTATCAGGGATGGGCAGCAAAGGTTAATTGCAGAGCTGCCTGGATTGCTGCAGAAAGGGAGGGAGAATAATTTAAAGCAATGTAGAATAATAAAGATGGTGAGCAAAGAAAAGCCCTCCTGGAGTCCCCTTCAGGAGCAAGAGTCTTGGCTCTGCTCCAGGCTGACAAAATATTAATGATCCCGGGCTGGGACTCGGCCTCTTTGGTGTCAGGCACCTTTATCTGTGACTGTGCAGGTCCAGTGTGTGGCGACTGGGGGGGGCTGCATTCCCCCTTACCCCCAGACTGTGGGGCTAGGTGCTGCGGGTGATGCCAGTGGCATGGGGAAGCATCACAAAGCTGCTGCCCTGTTTGGAGAGTTAGGAGTGCCTTGTGAAGGCCTAACTCCTAAAGGGAGTGGCTCTTTAGCATCTAATGGCCTGTCTGCACTTGCTGATACCGAGGTTGGGAATCAACTAAGGGCTCACCCGCAACACCATGGCTGGCTGCTAGGGGGCATTCTGGGCATGATGGCTTGGGGGAACTTGGTTAGCTTGTGGAAGGAGGGTTCACTAGACTGGGTTAAATTTAGCCCTATTCACAGGCCCAGCCTGAGGTTACAGCGTCTCTCTCTCTGCACTCTGCACCAAGCCAAGTGCCAAGTTTCACCCTTTTGGAAATAGTTTCATTTTTTGATGAGAAATGCCTTTGTTTCAAAGTTTTAGTTCATTTTTACTAAAAGTTAAAAAAAATTAAGGTGAAAATCAAAACAAAATGTTTAAAAATCATCAAAATGCAGACGTTTCCATTGACCCAAGCTGAAGGCTGTCTTCGCCAGCTGATAATTCAAGTTTCGAAGGTTGACTTTTTGTCTTGATTTGGGCTGGGGAAAAATATTGAAATCTCAAAAACTCTCATGGGATGGGAAAACCATTTTAAGCCCCACTCTTTGGGTAACCCAACCCCACTCAGCAGTGCGCTGTTCCCACCTAGTGGTGGCTGGGCCACATCCTACCCCGGCCATAGCATTGCATGAGCCATACACAGACCTGGCTAAAACAAAATTCTCTGGAGTGCACGTGGGAACCCCAGGGCCTCCCACCCACTTCTGCCAAACTTCCTGGGGTCCTTGGGAGGAGCAGCCCTGCCAGCATTGCAGGAGTTCTGGGCTAGTAGCAGTGACAGCTATCAGCTTGGAGCTACCATGTGTGTTAATTATTGCCTTATGTTTAGGGATTCTCTGGTTTGATGTGCATGATCTAAACCAAAGCCTGAATAATCCATCATCCAGAGGGATGCATGTGCATGCGTGTGTGCAATAATACAGTAGGTCCTTGAGGCTCAGCATTGATCAGAAAGAGCATATTTATAATCCAGAGCACAGCAGGTAGATTCTGCCTTCAGAACAGGCTGGGATAGCTGGCTTTGGGATACATGGAAAAGCGAGCACCTGGGAGGTTTTGCTTTTGAGGATCCCAGCAGTAGCCTTAGCAGCTCAGGTGCCAGTTCCCGAGGCTGAGAGTTTCTGAAGGCCCCGCCTCTCCTTCCCATCTGCTGGCCATGGGGCTCATGAGCCACAAGATTTACTCAGCTGAGGCTGGCTCTGGGGTTGCTCTACTGGCCCAGATGGGCTCACAGCAGGGAGGAATTTCCTCCCCAGGCACAATTGTAACCTGGGTTGTTTTTAGTTTTCTTCCTTCCTCTGAAGCATCAGAGGCCGGCCGAGCTGAAGATGGGGCACCAGATGGGTGGCCCCATGCTCTGAGGCAGTAGAGAGAGCCCTTGTATGTCGATGCCTGGCTGGTGGGTATTGCTCACCTCCTTGGGGTCTGACTGATTGGCAGATTTGGAGTGGGAAGGAATTTCCACCAGGTCAGGTTGGCAGGGACCTTGGGAGTCTTTCCCCTTCCTCTGCAGCATGGGGTATGGTTTGCCCACTGCACTCATCTGGGCATGTCTCACCTCATCAGTTCCCTGCCATGGCAGAAGCTTTGGGCACTGGTGGCACCTTGGTCTCTCCTGTTCTCTGCTGTGGCACAGTTTTGTCTGAGCACTGAATTGCTTCAGTTTAACAGAAGTCATTGGGCTCAAAACAGGGGTAGCTGGTGAACAGGATGAGCCTATGCTATTCCGTAGGTCAGACTAGATCTTATGGTCCCATCTGGCCTTCAGTTCTATGGAACTCCAGTGTAAGAGTGTTGGGGTTACTAGGCCTGCCTGAGCCAGAGTTCTTCCATGTTTAAACTCTGTCCTTCCATGTTTAACTCTGATCGACCTCAACAACCAAGGACAGGAATTGGAATGTGTAAATAGCCAGTTAGCAATTACAACCTTGTTCATACCAGGTACCAAACAATAATGATGAGGTTGGCATGTTTCTAGCTGGGGAAGGGGTAATAAAGTAAGGGTAAACAGAACCAAATAACTGTTTGGGGAGAAGTTACTAACAAGCTGGATTTATAGCCCTAGAATGATTTAATTGCTTAAATGTATAAACATGCCTTCGGTAGAGAGGGGAGGGGGAGTGGGGGAGGGTGATAGAGAGGGGGAGAGAGGGGGGGCTTAGTTGTAAAATGTATAAAGAAGAGAAAAACTGTTTTTGCTGGTGTGCTTGATTTGAGACTTGCCTGTCTCCTTGCACCACTTTGAGATCTCAAATAAAACTTTGATTGTTTCTCCACCCTGGTATGTTTATAGGCGCGAAGCACTCCGGGCAACGAACCCCACTGTTGCTGTCCTTGGGCCCCTGTGCCGGCAACAGTCTTGGCGTCCCTGGGTGGGCTCGAGGCTGAAATTTAGCCTTGCCCGGATCCCTCCTGGCGGCCGACGGATTACGACGACGCACGACGCCCAGAGCTCACTGGTGACTTCATCGGGGGCCTCGGCGGAGACATGATTTGGTCGACCCCGGAGGGCACAACGGTGCAACGCGCTTGATTTGTGGAGAAACAGCTGCGGGCGACGGCGTAGAACTGGACCCTTGGATAAGGTAGGAACAGTCCAGTGGGGACTTTACCTGTTTTGACCTGGGGACGCCCAGTGTCTCCCTAGAGTATGGGGCAGGGACAGGGTACTGCAGGCAGGGCAAGGTGTACGCCCTTAGAATGCATTCTGGTGAACTGGAAAGTGTTTGGATCGGATCCGTTGATTAAAAGTAAATTAAAAAGGTTCTGTACAGTAGACTGGCCTCAATATCAGCTAGAGGACCAGGAAAGGTGGCCACCGGAGGGATCACTTAATTATAATACGATCCTTCAATTGCTTTTGTTTTGTCAGCGTACGGGTAAATGGAATGAACATATGTATGTACAGTTGTTTATGTTGTTAAGAGATAGATCAGATCTTTTGCAAAAGTGTAATTTGACTCCGACAGGTTCGGTATTAACTATTGTTAGTCCTCAGAACCCTTCCCCGGTTGTAATGGCAGAGTCGGTGTCCCCTTCGGCTCCAATACCCCCACCGTATAAAGATAGGGTGCCTCAGGTCCCAGAGATTGCCCCCTTGGTGGGATTCTATCCATTGATTACTGAGACTCGGATAGCCTGTCCTGGAGCAGACAATCGCCCAGCCACTACAATGCAGGTTTATACCCATGTGCCTTTTAACCCAGTGGACCTAGCAGCTTTTAAGGCACAGGCAGGGGAATTCTCTACGAATCCAAGCAAGTTTATCTCGGTCTTTGAGGGGTGTCTGGCTAGCCATAAGCCTGACTATGATGACTGTAATGTCCTTATGCAGACCCTGCTGTCTGAGGTGGAGCATGATCAGGTTGTGTCTAAGGCACGAGAGGAGGCACAGCTTAGACATGAGGCAGATGCAGCAAACGTTCCTGTTGCTGCAGTTCAGGTCCCTACAGCAGACCCCCGGTGGAATCCCAACGTGCCAGCAGATCTCACCTGTCTCACTGTATACAAGGAGCTCCTATTACATCGTCTCCTACACTCAGCTGTCTGACATAACAATTGGGCTAAGCCGTATGAGCTAGTACAGGAGCCAAAAGAGAGTCCGGTTGCTTTTCTGCAGCGTATTCGGGATACCATCAGGCAAACTACTAATGCAAACCCCGATGATCAGGTTACTGAGGCAATTATGAAGGGTATCTTTACCAGCCGTGCCGCCCCTGATATTAAAAGGAAACTGCAGAAAAAGGAGGATTTGATGGGCATGACAATGGCACAGATTTTGGAAACTGCAAACAGGGCTTACAGCCTTAGGGACGGAGAAAAGGAAAAGAGGCAAGTGAAAATGATGGTTGCAGCAGTACAGGCTGAAGGCAGGGGAAGATTTCAGGAAGGTGGAAGGGGAATGAGAGGACGTGGGTGCCCTGGCTCACAGGAAAGGCGTCTGGGTCGCAACCAGTGTGCCATATGCCGAAAGGAGGGACATTGGAAAAATGAGTGCCCCGAAAGGGAAGGTACCCCTATGATGGCAGCGGAGGATCAAGAATAGGGGTGTCAGGGGAGACAGACTATCCTGCCCCCAGACCCCGAGTAAAAATGCGGGTGGGAGATTCAGACATAGACTTTTTAATAGACTCTGGAGCTGCACGAACTGCTGTAAACCAACCCCTTCAGCTGCCTGTGGCAGATTCCCTCACTGTGGTGGGAGCCACACGGAAAGGAACTAAGTGCCCAGTACATGCCCCAGCAGAATGTGCTTTGGGAAACAGAACTCTATCTCACAGACTGGTTTACCTCCCCGATTGTCCAACAACTTGATTAGGTCGGCATCTACTTTGTCGCTGACTAGCTAACCCCCATTTCGCTCAAGACTTAA